TCAGCCCCGATGCTATCAGCTATTTGTGTAGTACAAAGATGTGACCCTGAAAACCCCGCTGCGTTCATAGCCTTGCAGCTCAATTCCATCTTCGCATTGTGCACAAACGTGGGCAGTGTGTCTTGTAAACATCTTAAAATACACACAGTGGGAAAAGGACTAAGATTCTGCATGTTTTTCTCTTCTATTGCAATAAAGGCGGTATATAGAAGGCAGGATAAACAAAAATGTCTGTACGTGTGCATAAGGAAAACACAAGACAACTTTATGCTTAATACATTCTTCATATTTTTTTCTTTTTGCTAATGTACCACTTGTTGTTCCAGATGTTGTGTCACCAGATGGCACGAGCACAGTTCTCACAATGAAGTGCTGTGCTGCCATCAACGACATTTAGCAGAAATGGCAGGGTCCCCTTCAGAACAAACCTGTAACATTAGGCAAAAAACAGCCCTAGAAGCTCAGTCACACTGCAAGGCAGTCACAGCTGATGAATCACAATGACTAGCGAGAGCTGAGCAGGACCAGGTAGCTTGTATTCCCCGTGCAGTGCTCGTGGCCTCTTCACCTACCATACAGGGATTATAGCCAGGCTCACGCAGCAGGTACAGCTGCTGTGCTTAAAGCAAAGGGCACCTGGCAACCTCTTGCCTCCAACCACATAACCTGTGAGACAGGCAGCTATTTCCTTGTAGTCAGGGTTCACTGGCTGGCAAACGTACGTGACATATTCCTGCGGAATTACAGGACCCTGAAATGACTAGATGGGAAAGCAAGACTCATCTTCTACTTTAATGGCACTTCAGTCTGAGGAGACAGAGATCTATAAATGGTTTACCACTGTGAGAAATTAGTTGAGAATCCAGCCTCAGGTGTTGCATTCTCTGTATCTTCCTGGAATAAACATTTAAGGGATAGGAAGAAAAAAAAAGGTATAAGAAACCTTAAAGTATTGAGAACCATAAAAAAAGCTTTTAGGTCAATTTTCCCTGCTTCTTCTTATTTTAAAAAAAAAAAAAAAAAAAAAAAGGTAAGAAACCTTAAAGTATTGAGAACCATAAAAAAAGCTTTTAGGTCAATTTTCCCTGCTTACCTTCTTATTTGAGAATGTTTCATGAAAATTATGATTTTTTTTATTAGGAGAGGAGAGAGCTGACTTTCAGCTTTCCCCCAGCTGTACATTATTACTTCAGAGCAAATGCAGCGGGCCTGTTTAAGTGTGCTCTTACATAAACTTGCTTTTTATTTGCTTGTTTGCTTGCTTATCTGTTTTTTATGCGTGCGATATCCTGTATGCAAATGAAATAAGAAGAAAAACCCCAAACCATAGGCAGGCTTTTAACAGTTTCATTCCCTTTGATACCTGAAAAGCTCATGCAAGATTTGAAAGAATTGACCACTAATATTACAAGTATGTATTTTTAAAGTGATTCTATAGATCAGTAAAGAACTCATTTAAATGGAGAACAAGGATGAGAGTGTGGTTATCTGTTCTGAACCATCACTTAACTGAGACCACGTGACCTTCCTGGATCACGTTTCCCCTCAAAACCCTTGGCTGCAGTTGAACAAGAACACTATTCTCCCACTCCGTGAGATTACTGATCCTGTAGAGGAGCTTGATTTTGACTGGATTTTTCCAGTGAAAAGCATCCTCCAAGAAGGGTCACCCAAAGACAACGCACTCGCACAAAGCTTATGCTTTTCACAAACTCCTGGTGTTCCCATGAAAACATGAACCAAGAAGTTCTCCTCCCTCTTTGTCAAGGTTGAGACATGCAAGTTCAGGCATGTGCTCTGGGAAATGGTCTTCCCTTGCTGGGGAAGAGCCAGCCAAGGCAGGCACCGGAGCCTGGAGAGAACTTCACTGACCAGTCTTCAGGAGCCCAATCCAGGATCTTCACACTCCCTTGACTCAACAGCCTGACTCCTTACTGTCTATAACAGCAGCTTAGTCACATAGCACCTACCCCAAGGCCCAATTTCAGGTTTCAGGCTCTCGCTGAAATCTATACACACCACATCAAAAGAGAAAACTGTTAGCATTTCAGGAAATAAAACGTGTTTTAAGCAACACCTTGATAAACTTGGTTAAATTCTTCAAGGCTGACCTACAGGGCAGTTTCAACTTGTATTAGCATTATGTATTAGTACTAGTTACTGTTAATCCTTATCTGAAGCCCTTGCAAGAGTTTGCTCAATTTCTTTTCTCATTTTATTCAAGTGATGAGAGAGAAAAAAGGGGAAAAAAGACAGGCCACGCTAAAGAAATAGCATTCTATATGTGCTTCGGGGGGGGGGAGGGGAAAGTCAGAATCTTTGCTGGAAGAACGAAGATAGCTCACCTGAGGGGTAGCTCCATCTCTAGGAGATTCTCATTTGTTCACACCCAACTCCCTTCCTCCAGGCAAGTCCCTTCCTCCAGTCAAGGCCTTCAAGGCTCCTGGTGCTGCAGCGCTAGTGCAACATGAGTAGTAGTGCAACATGCAGGCAGGTATCTGAAAGCTGCTACAAAAATGGGGGGGTTTTGGTGCCTTTGTATATACCATAGTGCAGGAAATAGTTGCTTGGAAAGTAAAAACTTTCTAGGTAGAGTTTGTGTCAGACACCACTCTCCCATCCAGGAAAAATCTCACCCAAGCCATTTGAGTTACTCCCCGAACTTGGAGAATTCCTTTGCTGCACCATTACTAAAGACTTTTTCATTTAAAACATATAATGTATGTGTGTGAATTTGTTGGCCTTCCACAATTAGTAAGTCCTTTCTCAAAGTTAGACACCTAAAACAACACTGCAAAAATAGTTCCAGAAGGAGCACAAGTATTCCAGGCTACTTTAACCTAAAAAGCAGGTAACAGGGTGGTGGGGAGGAAAAAGCATACGAGATGGCAGTGGAACATGTCTTTTGTTAGGCATGGTTTCTCGCAGCTCCTGTACGAAAACCTTTGTCTAGATAGCAATGTGAATGAGAGCAAAGAGTAGCCATTCAAGACGACATGGCAATTACTACTTTGGACAGATACGCTGTTCCACTGCCTACTCGCAGTGCAGGCGTAGGCACCCAACTTACCACTGGAATCACCACTGTGAGACTCTAGAAAGATCCTTTTCTAAGAAAGTTTACGCTCTGAGGCTCGGAACTCGCTTGGCTGTCACAGGCACCCTTCTGATCCTGAATCTACAGATCCTGCCTGTAGCATTCCTTCAAGAGCATTCATAGAAACATTCTCTACATTGCTTTCATTGGGTTTAAGCATTTGCAGACACATGAGTACAGTAAAAAACAGAGTTTTGGATTCTACAGTACTGGTCAGTGGTCAGAAAGATTTCTGTATTCCAGTGCACAACTGGCCAGATACGTCAGGTTCCTTCCCTCTTGACAGTTCTGAGGTTTGCCACAGCTAGAACCTTGACAGGAGGGACTCACCTTTTGGATGCCTCATCAAGATCTCACTTGACCAGGGTGAAGTGCATCGGATTTTAGAGAGGGAAGAATTTCCCTTCAGTTAAACTAACAGGCTCCTTGGTGGAGTTCTACAGACTTTTCTTGGAGTACAATGGGAGGAATCCATTCTGAGATCATTTGATACCTTCATTAACCAGCTTCCCCATACTGCAAAGGTCTTCAAAAAAGACCTTGCCATTCTCTGATGGCATCATGCAAGTCAAGGGTTAAGGGTTAAAGTTACTTTATTCCAATATACATTTTTTACCTTTATATTTAGAACAAGATCTAATAATCCAGTATCTCTTTTGACTTAAGTTGTCATTACATTAGAGCAAGCGATTCTTCAGGCATGGGAGAGTTCAGATTGCTAGGGGGCTGCAGAACATTATTCCAATAATAGAACAATCGATGAACATCTCAAGTTGACTACTGTCAAGAGAGCTCGAGGAGTCACTTTCTATCTTTTCCCCTTATTGTAAGCATTTAAAAAAAAAAGGGGGGGGGGGGAGGGGGGGGGAAACAAAA